CCCCAAAACCCCAAAACCCCAAAACCCCAAAACCCCAAAACCCCATATCAAAGCAAGCATAGCATTAAATATTAAAAACACTTAAATATGGGCAATTGTTTTGGATCGAACTCTGGAGGAGTTATGGATATGGCCAAGGGAGCAAACAATCTTGCCAAGGCTGGAGAGAAGAGCGAAGCAGAGAAGCAGTTTGATGCGTTAGTGCAAGCAATCGAAAATTCTGAGAAAGATGATAGTTTTATATACTTTAAGTATACATCACTTGAGTCTGTGGATAAAGTAGTGCTCGATGCTCAGAGAATTGTTAATGACATCTATAAGATCAGGATTACACTCAAGAAATCAATGGAGAAGTTGATTCATAAGACTCATATCTGGGAAATTAACGGGGCTAATTCTTCACACGCCATTGTGGCAATGATTTACTCTATCTATGCTCAAACTGAAAGAGAAGAGGCTGAATCTTTAATAGTTTTCAAAAAGAAGTTCCCATTTGTTGGAAAGGGTAAAGACTCTAAAGTAGAGGGTGTTGCTACAAACATGAAGATTCTTTTTGATTATACAACTGCTATGGAGACTGCAGGAGCTAAGATGCCAAAGCTCGTTGAGGAGTGCATAGATTTAGCTAAGAAAGCTGTAAGCCTTGGGGATAGCTATATGGATGAACTTAAACAGGCAGATCAAAAAGTAACCATTAAAGCTGCTAAATCAGTCCCACATAACCTCAAAATGCTTAAGAGAACTAAGCTGATGGCTTTGACTACTATGAAGATCATTAAGAAATTGACTGTTGAGCTAACACTAGCTTCTAAGGTGCTTGTTGAAGAGAGAAATGATCTTCCAGATTATGGAAAAACTCTTGCTGATGAAGGTATTACAGAACCATTGGAATGCTATAAGAAGGTTGGAAAGCCAGTCGAGCCTGTTGATCCTCCTACTACAGAAGAGAGTCTTCTCGACTTTCCACACATCGAGGAACAAATAGAAGAGGTACCAGAAGAACTAGACGGAGAGCAGTTCGAAGAGGCTAAAGGAGGAAATGCTGTTGAAGTTCAAGAAGAGGCAAAACTCAATTCTGCTAATAATGCTCAAGCTCATGAGAACCAAAAAGAGTCTGATGAAGAGGAAGAGGATACTAAGAAGGAAGAGACTGACGACAAAGACACTAAGAAAGAGGATGAGAATGAGGCCGAAGGAGAAGGAGAGCATGAAGACATAGACAAAAATAACATGGAAGCAGATAAGGATACGGCTAAAGAAGGCGAAACAAAGAAGGAAGCAGATGATGAATAAAGGATTAGATATATCTAAGGCTCTTATAGTGCTTTATAAGAAGCTTTCAATTAATTGTATAAATTTTTGGCACAATTTTCTCTTACATTCCTTCAAGAGCTTGGCTTAGCTAATAGGATGGACATCTTCCGAAATCGATAAATTATTTAAAGTTAATACTATTAGAGCTAATATCGTTTCATTAATTTTTGAATGACGTGGGGTTTTGGGGTTTTGGGGTTTTGGGGTTTTGGGGTTTTGGGGTTTTGGGG